AGTGAATGAGTACTGCATAAGTACAACTTATGCATAATGCATTATATTCCAAGCATAAAATATTTTTATATTCTACAAGATCTAACTGAACTGATATCTTGATATCTATCTAATATCTTGAAGTGTCTTGAGGAGTGTTATGCTGAACTCTATCCAAAACTATGGAATTTTTCAAATTGCATTACGATTATTATGCATGCAGTTTCATTATTTGTATTTAATTTCTAAATATTTTAGATATTTACTAATATTTCTATGTTTCTATGTATTGCTCATATTGTATTTCTGTTTTTATTTGTATTTGTATGACCATTAAAATTAACTAACGACTTAAAATGTTGATTAAAAGGTGGTGCAAACCCCTAAAACAGTGGGTTACAGCAAATATATACATTTTTACCTTACATTTCTATGTTGAAAATAAAATGTCACATTTAATCAAAAAATATGTGTTGTAATGCTATGTAGTAAAACCTTATTTACGGTGGTATATTAACATCTGCAGGAGACTGCTGGCTGCTGGCTGCCATTGCTTGCCTGACCCTTAATGATATAGTTCTGAAGAGGGTGGTTCCTCATGACCAGAGCTTCACTGAAAACTATGCTGGCATTTTCCATTTCCAGGTATGAGCATCAAAACTGGACCATCCTTTACTGTCTGATGAATGTAGCACAAACTTAACTCACTCTTTGTCTGTTCTTCTAGTTCTGGCGCTATGGGGAGTGGGTGGATGTGGTTGTGGATGATCGACTTCCTACATACAAAAACCAGTTGGTGTTCACCAGGTCTGGACAGAAGAATGAATTTTGGAGTGCTCTTCTGGAGAAGGCATATGCAAAGTAAGTTTTTTTTTTTTTTAATGTAAGACCATAATACTTTGTCATTGTAGGCCTGTTTATGCTTTTCTATATATCCTTAGCGTGTGTCAAAAATCAGTCCAAGTTGCTAAATGTGATGGTTTGACTTCTGGATCCTAGACTACACGGCTCTTATGAGGCTTTAAAGGGAGGAAACTCACTGGAAGCCATGGAGGACTTCACTGGAGGATTAACTGAGTTCTATGAGATTACAGAGGCCCCGAAGGAGCTGTACAACATCATGAGAAAGGCTCTGAAGAGAGGGTCCCTCATGAGCTGTGCCATTGATGTACGTATACTAAATGAACTGGATGCTGTTCTGGTTAAAAACCAGCTGAATCTGATAAATATATCTGATGCTTCTCTGTGTGTGCTGTATCTAAAATGTACTAACTATTGAGCTTACTGTTACACACTCCACTTGTCTATGTTTGTACATTTCAGACAGACTGTCATTCTGCGCATTAGTGCTAGGAATTTTTTAGTCAGTCTTTCTGCATGTTACATCAATATGCCAGTAGGTGGCAGCAAGTGTTTTGAGTGCGTTCTTCATTCAAATTATTTGTACAAAAAGAATGATTCAAGAAGGAAACAAATGACTGGCTGCATTAATTAGTTTGCAAAAGTAATTAGTTTGTGTCCATTAAAAAAATCTATATAGTATGAATGTGTGAAGTGTAAATGTAATTCAGACGTTTTACATTTGTTATGTTGTCATTGTCATGTGACCTACCAGCATTAGTTGGCTTATGGGATAGTAAAGTGTCCATCAGATGTGCACTTTTTTCACCTACTGTTTTATGAATAATATAAATTCGGTCATAATTCTCGTCTCACATACACTCTAAAAAATGCTGGGTTAAATATAACCCAGCCCTGGGTAAAATAGGGACAAACCCAGCAATTGGGCTGTTTTGACCCATCGGTTGGGTTAAATGTTTAACCCAACCTTCTGGGTAGTAACCCAACCACTGGGTCAAAACAACCCAGTTGCTGGGTTTGTCCCTATTTTACCCAGCACTGGGTTGTATTTAACCCAGCATTTTTTAGAGTGTACTGTGTTTCATCTACTGTCTAGTAGGGAAGTATGAGATTTTGAATGCAGCCACTGTCTGTAATGAGTCAGTGAATCAACCATTCTACGGATTCATTCAAATACAATGATTCTTTCAGGAAGGAAACCCTACTATGTTTTGTTTGCTCAGAAATGTGAAATGGTTGATTGCTTGGGGTAAGTTTTGAACTATTCTCATTGGTGAAGCAAAAATAAACTGAAGTAAAAAAAAATAAAAAAAAATCTCAAATAACCGGGCAGTTACATAATCACAGTCCAACTCTTGCTCATGTGATATTGATTAATTATATAATTAACTGATATCAAATATAATGAAGCATTTTAATAAAAACTGCTGCATTATTGTGACATTAATGTGACATGCCATTACATTTTGCTTCTTCCGCACAGGTTTTGGTTCCAACTGCTCAAAGGACTAAAACAGCATCTGGACTTGTGACAGGCCATGCATATTCAGTCACTGGAGTTGAGCAGGTGGGCTTGTCATGTAATCAAGCATTTGTATCAAACCTCACAATACAGAGCATTGTGTGAGAATGCATGCAGTAAGTGTTATTTTAGTATCATTGAGATACTATTATTTAGACATTTAGCAGATGCTTTTATCCAAAGCGACTTACAAATGAGGACAATGGAAGCAATCAAAATCAACAAAAGAGCTATGATATGCAAGTGCTATAACAAGTTTTAGTTACCTTAATATTAAGTTAGTTTTATTAATATTTTAATATTTTTTCTATTTTCTATTTTATTTATTATTATTATTTTAGAAATATTGCCTAGGAAACTACATTAAAAGTATGTTTTTTATATTTTATTTTATTTTATTTCAAGTAACGAAATGTTTTTTTATGGTTTTAGTTTTAACCCTGGTCCCAACTGTAAAAAATGATTGTGATTTTAACAGTAAAAGACTGTAAAAATGCTACAGTAAAAACCTGTTAACAGTAAGTTTCCATACTATATTCGGTGAATAAATGTAATTACATTTAATGTGATTCTACAGTAAAATACTGTTAAAAATACGGCTTTTGGAAGTGAAAAAGAAAAAGTCATCGTATAGTTTACAGTGACAAACCGTAAATTGACACTCCCAGAATTCCCTGCATGACAATTCATATTTGATGTTTTTTTGTTGAAATAACATGTTTCTTCTTAGTCATTACATCAGTTAATGAAATACGGTATTTTATTGTGAATTTAGATTAAGTCTGTAAAACCTAAAATGTTGCTACCATATTTTTTACGGTGAAGTTCTGGCAACCACAACTGCCGGTATTTTACCGTAAATTTCACAGATTTTTTTTTTACAGTAGCATCAGCTGCATCTTTCAATGCAATAGCAAAAACCTTGTTCACAGGGTAAACGCAAGGATGGTAAAGACCTAATGATCCGTCTGGTTCGTGTGCGAGACCCCTGGGGAGTTGCCCTCCCTCCTGCCTGTAAGTCTAATGACTGGGCTGCACTAGCCACATCTGAGCAAGACAAGGAGAGACTCCGGCCTACAGAGCAAGGGGAGTTCTGGTTAGTTCACAGCTTTATGAGTCCCATCAGGCTTCCAGAAAGTCTCAAACAGTCTATTACACTTCATTTAATGCTCATAAATGGAAGCCGGTACCTCCTATAATTTTACTCATTTTTCTTCAAACAAGGATGTGCTTTGAGGAATTTAAGAAAAACTTCACCAAACTGGAGATCTGTAATGTCACCCCAGACACTCTTGAGGATGACCAGATGCTCAAGTGGAATGTGACCACACATGAGGGCCGATGGGTGAAAGGCTGCTCTGCTGGTGGCTGCAGAAACTTTCCGGGTATCTAGTATTATCTTGCAAAATTGTAGACTCGTTTGTCCTCATGAGATGGTTTTAAAAGCACCTTACATTAACAATACTGATATTTTTCATGGAGATGTGGCTTATACTATATATATCATTTTTATTTTTAGATTTGCCATTTTCATGGTTTAAGTTTTTTTAATATTTTATTTTATTTCAGCTCATTTTTATTTAATTTCTAGTAATGGAAATGTTTTCATGGTTTTTAGTTCACAATAATCCCTTTCTGTCCATTTTGTCACAGATACATATTGGACAAACCCTCAATTCCGCCTGGTTCTTCTGGAGGCGGATGCTAAAGAGAAGACCTGCACGGTGGTGGTGGCATTAATGCAGAAGGGCAGAAGAAAAGAGCGCTGCTCAGGTGCCACCCTACACAACATTGGGTTCGCCATCTATGAGGTGCGATCAATTAAACACACCCTCAGTACAAAGAACATTTCAACATGCACTACATACGCAATCAACACTCTTTATTGGCAACTATGGTTCCATAAAGAACCTTTGACATCCATAGAACCTTTCAAATGTGCAAAACATTCTTTGGAAAAAAGGTCCTTCAGGTTATGTTCTTCACACTAAAAACTGAGAACTGTTCACTGGAAGGATCTTCTATATGGCATTGGTGTGAAAGCCCCTTTTTCAAACCTTAATTTTTAGACTAAATATGCAAGGCTAAAGTTAGTTACCAACAGTTTTTCAGTTAATTGCCATGGTTGCTGATTTATTTCAATGTTGTTTTACCCACTGTCTTTCCCAGGTTCCTAAAGAGGTATGACTACATCTTGAAGAGACCGCAATGATGACATCATATGTCAATGTGACTGCATTTAAACAGACACAGCTTTGTTGTTTGCCAGTACTTCATTAATTTTAATTTTAAGTCCTTAAATCTGTTCATTACTGCATGATGTATTTGGTCATAGAAAAATTTTTAAAGTTGTGATCTTAGGTCTGGAATAATATTTCTAAATAGAATACAGATTTTTCTCAGCTATAAAATATTTATTTAAATTGGCTGGACTACAAATCAACAACAACTAGATCAACAACAAAAAAAAGTCATATATTTCTTTGCCTTGAAATGTTCTATCTGCTATCCTGATTTTAGATGAAGGGCAACCAACAACAGCTGCCAAAGGATTTCTTCCTGTATAATGCTTCCACGGCTCGCTGCAAGTCTTACGTCAACATGCGTGAGGTGACGGAGCGTTTCTGCCTGAAACCGGGCGAGTATGTCATTATTCCATCCACCTTCGATGCCCACAAGGAAAGCGAGTTTCTGCTCAGAGTCTTCTCTGAGAGCAGGAGCACCTCAGAGTGAGTCTTAACATTGATTGTGCACGTCAAATCAGTCATTCTAATAATATTAACCAGTATTAATTACCAATACATTATCAGTTTAATTATATAAATAAATAAAACATATTTGTATGATTGTTTGTGTGTGTGTGTGTGTGTGTGTGTGTATATATATATATATATATATATATATATATATATATAATGCTTCATATACAAATGTACTTATGTATGTTATTCTAAAGACTTTTCAATGAAAAGTTATTAAGTGTTTCAAATTTAAGCTCTTGTTACAGTCAGATATGTTTTTAAAAGAACCTCTTGACCTGCTAAAGCTCCTGCATTTGGCTGACAACTGCATGTTCTCTCTCAGGGTTATAGATGCAGAGATTGAGGTGGAGCCTGTGGTGAGTCCACACCTGTCTCTGTCTGTCTGTCATGTTCTGTGGCACCTAATGCTATGTCAAGTGCTTTGGTCTCTTGAATGTAGTAGATCATTAATTTAGTGCAACCGAAAACAAAAGTAGTTCAGTTTTTTCTTCTACATAATCACAAAAAATAATAAAAAAGATTTTTCACTTTCTTATACCAACAGACGGATGTCAAGAAGAAAATCAAGGTAAATATGGAAATAAGATGAAGATGTTCCATCAATTTATTTTATTTCCTGTTTGATATTCTATGTCAGCCCATGTCAGATGATAGAAAGGATAATAAAAAAAGATGGAAAAGGAGATGTGATGTGATGTTCTGTTAATTGGCTGTACTGCTGTAGACATGCAGCTCTGTTTTCATCTTCAGCATGCGCACAGCATGAGCTGGTACAGTATGTCAAAACTATCATTCAAAATGGCACTCAAAATCATAATAATAAGCACAAAACTGCCTTGTTGTGATGTAATTTTTACTTGCAACAGCCATAGAAAAGGAAAAATGTAAAAGCTCTGATCTAAAGACCACTTATAAGCAAAGATTAAGTGGATTTGCTCTATAAACTCTATAAACAAAATAAATATAAACACTGAACTATTTAAAGGCACATGCACACATATTTAGATGTCAACTAATTTAGTTTGTTGTACATTCAGTATTTCTTATTTCTCATGTTTAGCCATTTGAGGAGGAGGAGACTGAAGAGGAAAAGCAGTTCAGAGCCATCTTTCAGCAGATAGCTGGAGACGTGAGTACAGTTATGGAAATGCACTTTTGAATGCCATATTCACTTCATACTATCAATATTGTGATTGTTTCTTCTTGTCTTGCAGGACATGCAGATTAATGCCAATGAACTCAGAACTGTCCTTAACAGAGTGGTTGCCAAATGTGAGTCAAATTGTCTTATTGTCTGCCACTGATTCTCTTCTGTATGTCTCTGTCTGCAGGGGTTTAATAATCTATCCCTTTCTTTCCTTAGATAAAGAGTTGAAAACAGAGGGTTTCAGTTTGGAGAGCTGCAGAAGTATGATCGCACTTATGGATGTATCCTTCACTGTGCATTATGGGCAAATAATGTATGTATGAAGTGAAGTGTGGCCAAGTATGGTGACCCATACCCGGAATTTGTGCTCTGCATTTAACCCATCCAAGTGCACACACACAGTAGTGAACAAACACACACCGTGAACACACACCCGGAGCAGTGGGCAGCCATATTGCTGCAGTGCCCGGGGAGCAGTTGGGGGTTCAGTGCCTTGCTCAAGGGTCTCACCTCAGTCGTGGTATTGAGGGTGGAAGTGAGCGCTGGTTATTCACTCCCCCCACCGACAATTCCTGCCGGACCTGAGATTCAAACCCGTGACCTTCGGGGGGTAACAAGTCCGACTCTCTATCCATTAGGCCACGACTGCCCCAAAGGCTTCCGTGCCAGTGGCTTAGCAGAGTGCGCCACTCAGTTGACATGAGTGTATGTTCATAATCCAGTCATGCCAAAAGGAATCGACATGATCAGAAGTTTCCCATGAGGGTGAAAAAGTTCCCCACACAGACTTTGCTCATTCTTAAGTTGGTCACATGAATTCGGCACATAAAAAAAAAACAGAAACCTGATGGGTTCATACTTTTGAAATCGATTTTAAACTCGAAAATTCACTGAACAACGGTGAATGTGACTGCGCCTTAACACTTCAAAAACAAAGAAACAAGAGCCACTACACGCTCAGTGGTAGTATAAAAAATACACAGAAATCTGGCAACCGACAAAAATGGGTTTATGAATGGTTGGCCACTAAAAATTTAGGTAAGAACATGAAAGAAAAGCAATTACTCAGCTTAAACCAGAAAATGAACAAACAAACTGTGCCAAGACCAAAATCACCCCCATACTCTTAAATAATACACTATTTGAAGGAACAGCCATTTATAATGGTGTCCAGAACTATAGTGGACATTATTGTGTGCACTCATTTAAGCCTATGGCACTCCGCAATAACAAGTGTACAACTGATGCATGCTCAACCACTAGCACCCTTATTTTCATAATAATAATTATAATAATAATAATTAGATATTACAATTGTGTAAATAATAATAATTAGATATTACAAATGTGTTGCACATTTTATTTGTCCAGACTCCAGAGATATGTATTTTGTAAAACGTTTGCAACTGTTATTACTCAATCAGAAACACCACAATAATCATTCACAATAATCGCCATAAAATCATTGGGTGCCCTCTCCCAGCTTTAGAGGACCTTCACAGTTCCTGCTGTCTCAAGAGGGCTCACAGTATCATAAAGGACTCATCACACCCTGGTTATTCTTTGTTCAATCTGTTACCATCAGGCAGACGGTACAGAGCCATTAAGACAAGGACAAATCGACTCAAACACAGTTTTTATCCAATAGCTGTACAAGCTTTAAATGCCTCAGGACTAATGTGAAGAAATTATTTTGTGTATTTATTAGTATTTGCACTTGTGTGTGTGTGTTTTATGGGTTTTGTGCAATTTTTTTGAATGTAAGTGGGTGTGTGCACTTTTTTTTGGAATGAGAGACAAAAAATAACTTTCATTTGGACTGTCGGACAAATTACAATAAAGGTATTCGTAATAAAATTGCTCTGTAAACACTTGCATAAGTGTGTCCCATTGGGTAATGAAAAGTTTTACACACACTTGTGGTCTTCATGTCCACTTGAACACTAGAGCCAAATACAGGAAATACGTCAAGTAAGCAGACAAGTGGTCAAGTGCAAATATTGCAAGTGTAGGTAGTTGGACAAGCCCTATGCAGCCCTCTCCCATCTTCCTTTCTGTAGATTGAAATTTCTTGCTGCAAGCATGTGAACAGTGCCCCTTGTGGCCTGGATGATTTGTCACAAATAGTTTTGTTATTTCAAATTTGTCACATGCATGATGACACACATCCATACAAAGGTTCAGAAATGTAACTTAACCATGACTTAACCTTAGACTGATGGGACAGGCCACCTAAACCTGCAAGAGTTTAAACACTTATGGAACAAGATTAAAAAGTGGAAGGTATGCTATTGTTTTTGCCTTTATAAAGCAGGTCCAGTCATGTTCTTTTGTAATACACTGTATTAGTTAAAGCCATAGACACATGGTTTCTCTGTACATTTGTTTCAGCTGGTGTTCACACGTTATGACACAGACAAATCCAGTACGATCAGCAGTTTTGAGATGAGGAATGCTCTTACTGAAGCAGGTGAGGCAGTCAGATGTCTTTGTTTAACTTCTAATTTGACGATATACACATTTTTATTGGGCTGATCCCTTAAGATATTTCTCTGTACCTCAGGTTTTCAACTCAACAATCAGCTGTATGACATTATTTGTATGCGATATGCCAATGAACACATGGAGTTGGATTTCGACAGCTACATTAGCTGCTTAGTGCGACTCGAGGGAATGTTCAGTAAGTGTGATAGTCTTTTCTGTTCAGACATATTTTTCTTCTAAAGTATCATTAAGTTTATTCAGGCATTACAACCAAGATTTTGAAAAGAGACTTTGTAGCGACCGGATACTTGTAGTAAAAGAGATTCTTTTACAGGGGCATTCAGAGCCTTTGACAGGGATGGAGATGGCATTATCAAGCTCAATGTTTTTGAGGTGAGCAGCATCATTTTTTTCTTAATTTGTTATTGAATATTAACAGAATAAACATTTACAAGCAGCATGATTGTTAATCATATTTGTACTGATCACTGCTATTTACACTCTAAAAAGTTTCTGTTTTCTTAACTATATACACAGTGGCTTCAACTGACCATGTATGCCTAAAGACACAAACACAGATATAAGGTCAGCCTGGTGGAAAGTGAGTGGTCTTTTCCCATTTTCAACTTCCATTAAGTGGAGAAAGGTCTGGATCCGAATCAATTGTACTGTACACCACTGCAGCTTCTTTCTTCAGCAAATGCTGGTCTAGAACAAACTGGATTGATTATGAGTTTCTGAACGGACCATGACGGCTCATTTATGTCTAGGAAAAAGCACTTATTTGGTCGACTATCCCTTTAAGGTGACAGAATGCTGTCATATTAAATGTCATGCCTAAAACGACACTCATTTGAACCCATCCTTGTAAAACCATAGCCATGATTTGCAAAGCATAATCAAACAGCACATAACAGTACAATAGATGTGTGTCATGACTGCTAGCAAAGGACAAACATATGATGAACCGTGAGTATGAACAAAACTTCTTGTGCTGGAGTAGCAAGAACACAGATGATAAAAACAACCAAATGTTTTGAACATTTTAAAATATTATTCAGATTCCTATGAATAGAACAACTATAAACCTCTGAGAGCAAGTCTGAATGAATATGCTAGTATGTAGTCTTGTAAGCAAACTTAATTGCTGTTCTGAAAATCTTTTAACTGACCTGAATCATCAGATGGATGGAGGCTTTGCTGGACTCTGTAACATCTCCTTTTATGTCCTTTTATTCAAAACTGTAGGCAAGCATGTCAAGATAGAAATGACATTTTATCATGCCAGAATCAGAGCATTTTTTTTCTTTTAGAAATATTCTGCATCTGTTGAATCAAATTAATACATAATCCAATGTGATTTGCCGTAAAACTACTATAAAACTAGAATTAAAGTCTGTTCTAATAGTGCAGTTATGGGCTTTGCAATGCAGTACTTGCTCACAGAGCTCAATTTTGTGCACCGAGAGGTATGTTCAGCATCAGATACTTCTGGGAGTAGGTCCTGTATTACAGCTGCTCTGTGAGGCTCATTGGGCTGCTGAAGACCAATCCTTTCATCAGAGGTTCACACAGCTGTCAAGATTCATTTAGCATCTCCTGCTGGTCACCAGGATCTGACAAAACATTTCAAGTACAAACAATAATAACGCATTATTATAAACATGCATAATGACATATATAATATTACATATTAATCTCAGACATATATTTATTCAGAGTTGAACTGAATAAATATATTACAGATGTTACAAGAGCTCTTACTCTTCATATCCTGCAGAATCTTTATGCGCTTTTCCCTGAGCGAGGCCATTTCTGAGGTTACCTGACAACAGAGGAGTTTATATTGTTTGCAAATAATTATTAATTACATTATGAATGTATTCATTGTACAGTTTACAGTATAATTAATATTCTATTGCATTAGTATACATGTGACCCTGGGCCACAAAACCAGTCATAAGGGTCAATTTTTGGAAATTGAGATTTATACATCATCTGAAAGGTGCATTATACATTTTAGGCGTATAATTGTAGTATAAATTGGCTACAGAAAAGAAAAGTGGGGAAAATATCTTTGTCTTACTATGAGCAAAGCTGCTCATGAAGTATGTAAAGAGCTTGTAATGCATATTAATAGAACAACCATGTACCTCTTGTTTAACAGCTAGTAGACGCTGAACTTCTGTGTATGCGCTCTGCAGGGTGGAGTACGCCTGGAACAGCTGCTCACCTACATTCTCCAAAGAGCTGGTGAACTCCTCTTCTTTCAAAGACAGCGATATCAACTTATTCACTTTTCCTGAGAATCATAAACACACAGATGAACACTATGACATGTACTAGCGTGTTTCTGGAAGAGACAGTGCTGAATTATCAGTTACAGCTGGTTTAACATCTATTAAATAATTCAGGACTAATTTGTGTTATATGGAACAAGGATATTTTAACATATTTGACTTATTCTCCCCATAAAATTTAAAAAAATTTGCATTTTTGCATTGATAAAATGAGATAATTTAAATAAAAATAATTCCATTCAAAATGTATTTAAATAAGAAATGTTAATTAAAGGAACACTCCACTATTTTTGAAAATAGGCTCATTTTCAAACTCCACTAGAGTTAAACAGTTGAGTTTTACCGTTTTCGAATCCATTCAGCCGATCTCTGGGTCTGGCGGTAGCACTTTTAGCTGTAGCTTAGCATAGATCATTGCATGGTACGGCAGCAAAGTTCCTTGATTATTACACGGGAATGAGAGTATAGGTCTTAGTACATGATGTAACTACAGAAGGGTCAAGTTTTAAATAGGAAAAATATAGAAACTCTTTGGTCATTTTTGAGCGAGATGCTAACGGTCTAATCAGATTCAATGATCTATGCTAAGCTACAGCTAAAAGTGCTACCGCCAGACCCGGAGATCGGCTGAATGGTTTCGAAAACGGTAAAACTCAACTGTTTAACTCTAGGGGAGTTGGAAAATTAGCCTATTTTCAAAAATAGTGGAGTGTTCCTTTAAAGCTATAATAAAATGGAATACTCACTTTTTCGGGATATTTTGTTGTTTGTCTCAGGATTCAGATCATGTGAATCGTCCTGTAAAATGAATAAAACTCTATGACATTTCTATGAATTCCAGATACTTCTATTAGACACAACATCACCCTAAAACTCCTTTACTTGTTTTTTTGTCTTGGTTTTCTGGACGTTGCAGGAGATGGCTTCAAAGCTGCGGTGATGCTCCAGTGATGTTTCTCCCTGTTCTGTCTCACACGCATTTGATTTGTTTTTCTGAACATGCGCAGTATTAGGCCGAACGTTTTCAACAATCTCCAACTCATTTTCTGAAGCCTGGCTTTCGAACATCTCAGCCGGGACAGATACAGGCGGAAGAGAATCTGCGTATGGTTCTTGTCCACTCATGCATTCTCTAGGGAAAAAAAAGATGTTAAAGAGATCATAGTTTAAATGTTATTTCATCTATGGTTAGGAAGACTTTTAAGACTGAAACATGCTCTTGGATCTAATTTTATGGCTAACTCTCAAGAGACTATAAAAGAATGAGTCTCAAAGAATTTAAGCAAATAAAACTCAATTTATTCACCTGGTCATGCCCTGTTCACTCTCTGACGCCGCTCTGTTTACTTTCAACATAGACTTTTTGGAACAAGTGTGTAGTGGAGGATTAAGAACAACAGCTTCATTCCCAGTTGCTGCCTTCCGTGTTAAACAAACTCCCCTTGCTGCTGTCAAGTTGGGTATGTTGGCCTCCATCCTGCTTTGGACCAGTCCATGGGCACATGTCGGCTCAGCAGCAGCACCACATTCAGTTCCTGGAGTCACGTCGTTCACACAAACATCTTTACCTGTTCCATCACGGTTGGGACGAGTGCCATGAGCAGACATTTCCTGAGGAATATTTTCTGATGGTCTCTCAAGACAAGGCCTTTTCACAAGCGGCCCATTTGATCTGTCCATATCAAGTATGCTCTCTTGTCTCGGTGTAGGCAGGTTTTGGTTATGCTGGATAGATGCTGGATGGTCATTTTGATTTTCCCAAAAGGACATGAAATGGCATGATGGTGGCAACTGGTCAGCTTCGAACTCCTCATTCACCATGAAAGGTGTTGTACAATGCTCGTTCTCAGCTGTGCTTCTTATCTGAATGAACCTCATTGTCTTCTGCCTTTTTGCTTCTTTCCACTTCTCCATTTTCTCTTTCTTTTTCATAAATCTAACAAGAAAGAAGCAACAAGTCTTACAGCACAAAACTAATGCTATTGACCAAATAACTGACAAACGCAAATGCATTTGAATCATTCAACCATCAGCCATTCAGAAGATGTATAATTAAACAAATAACCACATGAATGAGCTGACAATGAGTTTACCTTTTATGGTCTCTTTGGGCACAAAGGTCTTTAAGCTCATTAAATTCAACACTGTAGTCCACTGTATTTTTTCCAAGTTTTCTATTCTTCGTCAATTCCAATAGCTTCATTTTGTGATTTTGGGTGGAAATATGCTTCCGAAACACTGCTATTCCTGTCATAGTCATTTCGCAGGCCCAACACTTATGCTCGTGTTCACTGTAAGAAGAAAAGCATATATTTGACATTGCATTAATAAAGACTTCTTTTTTCCATGGAAGTCAAAAGGAGTTATTAAGCAGAATGTCTAAGCGGCTTACGTGGCTCTTTTTGGAGCTTCACCAAGGCTGCATTTATTTGATCAAAAATCATTCTAATATGCTGATTTGCTGCTTAAGAAATATTTCATATTATTATCAATGTTGAAAACAGTTTTTCTGCTAAACATTTTTTTGTGGAAACTGTCATATCTTTTTTTTCAGGATTCTTTGATGAATGGAAAGTTCAAAAGAACACCATTTATTTTGAAATGGAAATCTTTTGTAAGCTCATAAAAGTCTTTACTGTCCATTTTTAAATGATGAGTAAATTATACAATTATTTTCATTTCTGTGTGAACTTTCTTTTGAAGCAGGGCTTGACAAACAACACTTTTTAGCTCCATACCTGCCCTTCAGTTGCTCAGCTGTCTTATGGTGGATAAAACTGTGCATATGTTTGTCCCACTCCTGTTACAACAAAGACAAAGTTAATTAAAAGAATAGATCTATATCCATAGCCATAATGTGCCTAAACATTACAGCCTAAAATGACCCTAAAACATTCCATTTGGGAAAGCAAACACCAATGAGTTATAGGTCCACCATTACACCATACACAAAAGCATTACTTACTGATAATATGATTTTAATTCCCTGAAAAATTATAAAGCTGAATATTGTAGACTCCATCCAACATTGGTTCTCTCATAGTGAAGGTAGTACTGTCCTGTACATTATTAAATCTACCAACTCTACTTCTACCATTACTCTACCCAAACACAAAATTACTGACCTGTTCAGGGAAACGATGAAGGCAGACAGAACATTTGTCCAGATCTTTTTTTTCTCTCCTAAAATAGATAAAAATAGAACACAAACAAATTATTATAGATAAAATATTAAGCAAACTCATTTTAAACAGCAAATTTATCCAAATTTAACAGCATGTAAATTTAAAAAACATGTATTATTAACAAAACAGAGAGATGTATTTAATGTATAAGGTAACAAACTTACCTGTCTTGCTGTCTTAGATCAAAACGGGCTTTTAATTCATTATCATTTAGGTCAATATTGTAGTCCGCTTTAAAAGGTTTTCTTTTATGTCTTTTATCTTGGAGTTTAAAGAGATTTTGCGTGTGCTTGTGGGCGGCAATATGCTCCTTGTACTGCTCTAGTCCCATCACAGATACATCACATGCCCAACACTTATGCAGCTGTTCACTGCAACAACAAAAGTGCTTATTTCAACTTACTTTATATTGCTGAGAAAGACATGATAATCAGTTCAGTGTAATTCCATACCTGCCCTTGATCTTCTCAAATGCTTCATGGTGGAAATAAGAATGCATATGCTTATCTATTCCCTGTAAAAACAAAATATATACAAATAAACATCTAATCAAGTAGTGAGAGGCATAAATGAAAATACATCATTTTCATGCAATGTCTTCATTCTGAACTTCCTCTCCACTGAGTATTGCATTGCATTTAATATATTAAAAATATACCAAAAATTTTGATGACTCATCCCGCACTCACTTGTGTTGTCCAATCAAATATCTACAATGCCTCGCCCCGTTGTAGCATCAGCAACAAACTAGCAAATACCAAATAATGGTTCATGGCTATGACGTAAAAATTTAGAAGCAAAAGGGTGCGGGTCCTTCTATATATACTGCACACAAAAAAACAAAAAACAAACAAAAAAAAGTCTAAACCATATTTATTGAGTTTTTAATGTATCTTAAGCCACAATACTAACGTGACCATACCCTGTTTAAGGACGCGACAGAGAACAACAAATAACAAGATTAGAACACCAAACTGTTTCAAATAGAAATAGTTAAACAAACAAACAAACCTTCTGTTCGTACTGCTGACCGCAGATAGGACATCTAATGCCAAAGTTGACGTTGGTTTTCTTGGTCTTTTTGCTCATCGTTGTGGTGTCTCTGAGCGTAAATGAAAGAAAGAATTTCTCAAAATAGAGCTAGCAATTATATATATAAATTTTAATCGATGCTAGGCATTCAGAGCATTCGCTCTAGCTGGAAGACTCCTGTCATGTACATTAATCAGGCCACCCACAGATAATCACAAACTGAGAGATTACTGATCAATTTCATATCAATCTTAAGAGATAACGGTCACAAAGGCAGTCCTTTCAAAAAGACAGTTTTTATGAGTTTTCAGTGTGTTACGATGCCTGTCCACGTGTTTGCTGCTGAATCAGTCCATGTTGACTGGATTCTGTTGCCAGATCTCGTAAAAACAAGCTATTACGTGTACAACGCAAATTCTCTGATCAAAATAAGTCAAAATAAGAGACCAAATTTAATTTAAATAAGACTGAAAAAGCTTTCGGAAACTGTATGTTAGGGAAAGTGTAATTCGTGACTTCACACGTTTATACGACTCTTCGTTTATTTTCTGCAGACATGGCAACACTGCCAGCACAGACAGTGCTCTTGCACTGACACAGAAATCGCGAGAACTGGAGAATGCTTCCCCTAGTGGTGTGGCTGCAATTCATTTTACAATTAATTACAAAAAATATATATGTTCAGTTTGTAATAAACAATTATTGTGCAAATCTGCTACAAATATTTATATGTGCAAAATGCAATTTCTGTTCATTATATTCAGAAATAAAAAAAATAATTAAACCATTTCTCTGTAGCCCTTACAGTCAAAATGCAATAAAATGGTTTGAGCTCCTTGTAATGTAGAGTTTACTGTAGAAATGATTTTGCATTTCTCATTTATTTATTTACTTACCTTCAATTCATTATTAGCTGTAATCGCAGATGTGATGAATGCACCGATGGAGGCACTACAGTTCGTACAGAGAATTCACCGAAGAAGAAGACGAACACGGAAGCGTCTCAGTGTTTCTAATCTGCACTACTGTTGCTGTATATATTAGTTTTATTTGTCTGATACGAAATGTGTACTGGTTGTGTGCAGAAACAGTATCCTGACAGGGTGAGTTCATGATCAATGCTGACTGCACATTTGTCTGAATCCTTCTGCTATTAACTTACTTGCTATCTGCTCCTTTAATGCCATTAAAGTGTGTAGAGGCAAATGTAGCGCTGGCTGCTGTTTTCCAGCTAAAGTTGAATAGCACTGCACTCCTGTGTGCTGAATACTTTAAAAGTGTTCTTCTTGGAACCCAACTGAACTTGCATTAGGCATTTACCTCTTTCTAAAAATTCCATTTGATAGCACGAAATTGAGTTTGTTTGGGTTGTTTATGTTGTGTGCATAAATAAATGAATTTTTGGGTGTTTTTTCCCCTCTTACGTGCATAGGGTCATACCTGTCTGGAGAATGGTTCATATCTTATGAACTTTCTCGGCTGCGCTAACTGTCACCAGCGGGACTTTGTGCTGATCAGCGACAGGACGATGGTAAATGAAGATGAGGAGGAGATTATCACTTACCTGCGTGAGTCACGTGACTTCAGTATGTGTAAATATTCGGTCAAATTTGTCATCAGTAACGCCTGCTTTTCCTCAGATATGTGCAAGAACTGTGATCATGTCATAGCCAGACACGAGTACACCTTCACTGTGGTGGATGACTATCAGGTGAGCAGTGCTCTCAATTCAATAACTGAATAAGAAAAGTTTAAAATTTATGTAAATAATACATAAAAACGAAAATGTTTTTTTTTGGGTTGTTTAGGCTTTTACAGGGAATTTTTATTTTCATATTTGTTATTCAATTTTGCAGGAATACACAATGTTGTGCATGTTGTGTGGAAAAGCAGAGGATTCCATCAGTGTGCTGCCAGACGATCCCAGACAAACAGCACCTCTGTTCTAGAGTATTTGCTCAGACACAGAGACAGGGAATTGACTTCTTTGTAAAGAGCATGGTTATGCATGATGGAGGGAGCCATAACACATGCAAGATTTTATATACGCTTAGCACTGGAGAACACGTTTAATCCAGAAGAATATACCGCAGAATTCATTGTGCTCTTTGTTTCTACTGCTTCAGGGAAGGCTCTAAGGTTCACAGCACAGCTCTGACTCATAAAGATACATGAATTTGAGTCATTCACAAATATTAAACCTAATTAGGAATCGCTTGTGTTTATCTGATGATCATCCTATGTTTGATTCACTCAAAGTGTATGGAACCCCGTTTCTGCCAAATAGAAAAATAAAAAAAAGATAATTACAAATTTTTATCTCACAATTCACTTTTTTCTTGCAATTTTGAGAGAAAAAAAGTCAGAATTGTGAGATGTAAACCCTAATTTCAAGAAAGTTTTCTGTTTCTGCTACGTTATAAAAGATAGAAAAGGTAATTCTGACTTTTTATGTCACAATTCAGCTGTTTTTTTTTCCAAATTGTAAGATAAAAAGTTGCAGTTACCTTATCTATTTCATTCTGTGGCAGAAACAAGCTTCCATAGAAGTGTGTTATTTTATTTCCCATGTTAAAATGCTTTCTTATCCCATCTTAATATGCACAATGTTGCTCTGTTGCCAATTATATGAGTCCGATCTGTTTGACTGACCAAGAAAGGTTAGGTTTGAGTGGATTATCAGTTTGTTAACCACAGATAGGATTTTTGTTTCTATGCAGCGCTTAGATATACATGAGTCAAGATTGGTTTAGACAGATAAAATATGTTTAAAATGGTACACACAAGAAAATAAACAGATTCCTGCATGTTATTACTGACACTTACATTTAAAGTAAATATGTCTTACTGTATTTCCAGTGTTAATGCAACAAAATATTTTGTATGCTTTGTTTAAATAAACTATGAAACAATGCATTTTATGTTTATTAAGCTAATGACAGCATAATATTGTCACAATATCAAGCATCAAGTTCTTAAGAGTACTTATTTATTCCATTGATGTGAATACATATACATTCCAACATGGTAACTTTGTTTTTTGAATTATTGAATTGTTTGTTAGCAAAATACAGTACATGAAGCATGAGGTGGAATTTCTTTTTCTTAATATATTTATATCTATATACAGTTCAGGTTATGTACAGTTCTTAAGATAAACCATCCGCTGTACCAACAGTTGTGGGCCTATACTGATGCTTTTAAAGTAAAAGTACTTCCAGAGGACAAAATAGAGGATCCAGAACAAAACAACTATTCTAGCTGCACAGCACACAATGAAGTCGTGGTAATGACTCGGTAGCTACAATCCCTTTCTTTGTACATCACACGGGTCTCGCACTCCTCAGACAACTGTCAATAAATGCCATGGTGGAGAATTCAATCCCAAAAACCGCAGAAGTGTCTTAGCATAAGCAGCCAACTCATCAAGCAGACATCTTGCTGATGTATTCAAGTAATATGGTAATGGGACTATAGTGTTTGAATCAAGTTCATTTAAGGGTCCATAGTGTTTCACTGCAATATATCGGTACGTTTCTTACTGACGTTATGACTATTTACAGGGATTGTTAGTATGATATTGCAGGCATGGAAGAGATTATACTTGGCAATTGCAAGGTTGCTGACCCTTAATGTGATGGCGAATTCACTCAGTAGCAAGTAATAAAGCTACATCATCAGGTACGTAACCACATCCAATAAATAAATAAATACATTCTATAGATGATACAGTTTACAGTACATACATTCCCTGAAATACATATATACACATGCTTGCTTGTACCAGATGTACCTATACATGACTGATAATACACTGTATAGATAGCTATCTGTTGAATGAGCATTTAACCATAAACGCTTTGACCAATGATTGAAAAACAGAAAAATTATAGAAAATGTAAGGCTAGAGTATCTGGAGTGTCTAAAAAACATACATCTGTTTGACAGAATACAATGATTTACTAAGTGCAGCCACATTGTTTTCAGATTTCAAATGTTCTCACTGATAGTTAATGTTCAAAATCTGACATATGTAAGGTATGTAAACCAGAAAGTGCAAAAAACATGAAAAAGTAAGCAGATAATTTACATAGCAAGAAGAAAAAGAATATATGGCACAAACTATATAGAATATTAAAAAAAATTAAAAACATTTGATTGCAATGGGCAATTTGTTTAGAAGAAAGTTACACAGCGTCACTGGAACATTTAGCATGTTAATATTTCACGTTTTTCAAAAATGTCCTAAACATGATGCTTTCAAGTAATCACAACCAACCGGCAAATACCTGGTCCTTTATCGCTCTACTTATCAAAACACCACTTGCAAAAACGCTACAGTTCATCAAAAACTACTTTTGAAACCAGTTGTCAAATTACTGACAACTCACGCCATCGGTTACAAGCTTTTCTCTTTATTTGCTCATTTTGGTAGTGGTTTTGCTCTCAGGACTTCCGGCTCTGACTCTGGAGCAGAACCCTGACCCACGATTTACTGTTACGTCACTGATTCGAGGAGGCGGGGAGGCCGAGCAGCTATTTGGTGACTGGCTGTGACCCCCCTCAAAACGGGAAGGCGAGGAGCTTAACGAGCGCTGCAGAGAGGAGGCGGTGGTGCGTTGGTAACGTGAGGTGCTGACGGCCAGTCCTCCTCGCTCCTGCATGAGCTGAGAGAGGTTGTCCAAGAGGTCCGTGTCACCGGTGCTGCTAGCACGAATGCGGTAGCGTCTACGTCTGAAATGACAATAACTTTCAATATCACATTGATCATGTAGAGGTATATTTAGGAATTGGACTACATTGGCTGTGCTGTTGTTTTATATTAACTAAAAAGAACCAGATGAGAATGAGAGTTGACTGTTTGTGAATCAGACTAGACTGGTCACGTTGTATGTTTTTGATTCACTTAAAAGAACCAGCTATTTCAAACTCTTTATTAAAAGAACCAAATTCTTCCATTTAAAAAATCGGACTACACTGGTTGTTCTGTATGTTTTTGATTCACTAAAAAATTTTCATGAATCAGATTACACTGCTCTTGTTACATATATGTCTTTAATTTACTAAAAATAAATGACTCATTTGTTTGTGAATCAGACTACACTGGTTGTGCTGTATGTTTTTGATTCACTATAAAGAGTGGGTTCATAAGAGTCATTTGTTGGTGAATCAGACTACATTGGTTGAACTATATGTTTTGGATTCAGTAAAAAAAAAAACTGGTTCGTAAGAGCCATTTATTCATGAATCAAATTACACCGATCACACTAATTTTGATTCACTGATTCACTAAAAAAAGATCCAGCTCTTAATAGGCAATTGTTTGTAAATTGGACAACCCTGTTCGTCTCATATGTCTTGGATTCACTAAAAAGAACAGGTTTGCAAAAGTCATTTGTTCATGAATTGACTACAAATTGGTCACTCTGTATGTTTTTGATTCGCTTAAAAGAACCAGTTATTTAAAACTCTTCATTAAAAGAACCCAATTCATCCATTTCAAGAATCAGACTACACTGGTTGTTCTGTATGTTTCTGATTCACTAAAAAAAGCACAGGTTCACAAGAGTCAATTGTACATGAATCAGATTACACTGCCTGTGCCCTATGTCTTTGATTTACTAAAAAGAAATGGCTCATAAGAGTCATTTGTTTGTGAATCAGATTACACTGGTTGTGCTGTATGTTTTTGATTCACTAAAAATAATGGGTTCATGAGAGTCATTTGTTTGTGAATCAGACTACACTGGTTGAACTAAACGTTTTGGATAGAGTAAAAAATAACTGGTTCATAAGAGTCATTTATTCATGAATCAAATTACACTGATCGCACTGCACTCACTGTATTTGTTTGACTAAAATGATCCAGCTCATAATAGACATTTGTTTGTAAATTGGACAACCCTGTTCATCTCATATGCCTTGGATTCACTAAAAAGAAAGGTTTGTAAGAATCATTTGTTCATGAATTGACTACAAATTGCTCACTCTATGTTTTTAATTCTCTAAAAAGAACCGGCTTTTGTTTTTGTATGCATCCTGTGAAGATACAACTCAATACACTGACACAGGGAACTGTCTAACTTAGTACTTGATGAAAGTATACATTTTTAAATTCTTGGTCCTCTCACCTGTTCTCGCCACCTGTGCGAAGGGGTGGTTTTCCTGGTGGCGGCCGTGGAATAAATCGTGCAGACAGCTGATCCGGCACTAGAGTGGGGCTCATGGGTCTTGGTATTTTACTCTTGCTCGACACAGGTCCTGAGGAGGAAGACAGAGAGAGTGGCTCCTCCACCTGCCAGTCGGACCCTCGAGAACCAGTGGGGAAAATGAACTTGTCGCGCAGCAGCGCTAAGGGGAAGTGCTCACATGACAGTGACAGAGACGGAGAAAGTGGAGCTGGAAAACCCCTACGGGTTGGAGAGTCCGGGTCACGGATGGGGATGCGACTGGCTCGGGGTGAGAGTTCACGAGGTGATGCCGGAGCTGCATCAACACTGTGTCCAGTGGTCTCACCCTGGTTGGGGGTTGAAGAAGGCCCAACGTCAGGACAGCCCAAGTCGCTCTCCACATCCTTGTCAGAGGCCTTGACAGAGATAATGTTTTCATCTGGCTTGGTAGGGCTTTTAGAGGGTGAAATAGCTGGCACGTAGTTGTGCTCTTTTTCTGCAGGGCCTGATGGATTGCCAAGCTGAGAGTCGTCTCCTGTCTTCTGCTGTAGCACTGCATTGGATGACTGTGAAGGGAATAACATTAAGAGACAGGACATTATTAATGGAGCTCTGCAGGGAAAAACTCTTATACATCTGTTTTTCTTAGTGGTACCATCATTTGCTGAGCTCTGGTGAGCTTTGTGTCAGCTTCACTTTCGGTCTATTGCTGTTTTTGATACAGTAATGTATAAATCCAAGTTACTGGCCAAAATTCGAGACATAGTGATGTTGCAGTGAAACCACTGCAATGCACCCATAAACGATCACTGCTTACTGCTACAGTTTTCAATACACAATCAAACATATCTGTGACCCTGGACCACAAAACCAGTCATAAGAGTCATTTTTTTGAAATTGAGATTTATACATTATCTGAAAGCTGAATAAATAACAGAGATGCAAATAGTTAAGGGTGAAAAAAGGTGAGAACATTGTGCGGATCAGGGGCATGCGCCACACGGAATTTCTATTTAAGATATTTGCTTTACATGCTCATTATTTCCAAAACGGTAATATCTCACAAAAACATCTTGTGATATTTTACAAAAATCAAGATTGAATATATTTGGTCAAAGTCCCATGTTATAAAAGATGAAGTGCTATGCAGACTATTTAAGACAATATTGGCTGATTAGACGGCAACGCTGACCTAAAATGCAAAATGTTTGCCCTCTCTCTCTTCACCATTCCCACATCTCAGACCTCAAATACATAAAATAATACCTTTTAGACATAGTTTTTGAAGTAAAGAGTAAAGAAAATACTATGCAAAACATATTGAAATAACCAGTTTTTTTATTTACCCTTCACAAATACCCTTGTAAGACCCCCCCTCATAAAAACACTTTCTCATGGGATCCAAGCAAATCTCATAGGTAACTTATTTTGATCTCAAAAAAGAGAGTTGTCACTGAAAGGTGAGAAATTTGCATCTATGAAATAAGCTTTCCATTGATGTATGGTTTGTTATGATAGGACAATATTCGGCCGAGATACAACTATTTGAAAATCTGGAATCTAAATATTGAGAAAATCGCCTTTAAAGTTGTCCAAATTAAGTCCTTAGCAATGCATATTACTAATCAAAAATTAGGTTTTGATATATTTAGGGTAGGAAATTTACTAAATATCTTCATGGAACAAGATCTTTACTTAATTTCCTAATGATTTTTGGCATAAAATAAAAATTGATCATTTTGACCCATACAATTGTTGGCTATTGATACAAATATACCCGTGCGACTTATGACTGGTTTTGAGGTCCAGGTCACATTTCATGAGATAATTACACTATTATGTTAAAATTAATGACAAGGAATTTTGTCATAATATAATTGTTGTCTGACAATTCCTGCTGTATATTTCACAATGTTTAGAAATGCTAATACATCTACTTTAGAATGTAGCATGAGATACTGACCTGCTCAAGATGAGTCCTGCTTAGGACCACTGACGCAGGCTGTACTGTGGGCAGTCTTCTTAATCTAGACAGGCCTATCACTCCAGGCAAGCCTGGTAGTCTGGCGAATGGAGGACCAGTGTGGCAGATGCCTGTGTGGAATTCTGCTGAACCAGTCAGACTGCTAGCGCGCTGAGGCAAGGGGTCAGACCAGGTGCGAGGGAGGGCGAGGGGGCTGGAGGAGCGTGGTGAGATCCCTGAGCGTTCCTCCTCATCCGGTTTAGATCCTGCTGAACCGCTACCGCCCTCAAGCTCTACTAGGACCCACTCCTGTGAGTCACCCTCTTGTGGGACGGGGCTGAGGTTGACGGCAACGTAACCGCTGCTGGCCGCACACTCCTCGTCCTCCAACGAGCCCTGCTCGACCCGACAGACAGACCTGTCTTGGGGCAGACCCGGACGATGCTTCCCTAAACTAATAAGATGAAGAAGGAGAAGTGGTTATGATGTTTTTAGAGACCAATTCACATTTATAAGGAAGAATATTAGGATTTTGTTTACTGACTAGGCCTCAAGGAAGCGTTCAAGTGTGGGTTTGGGTTCAGGGGTCAATCTTTTGTCTAGCCCCATGCTCTGACTATGGCGCATCCTTCTCAATAGAGGAGCAACACGGTCGATGAGCAAGGTCTCTGAGCGCACACGTCTAGGAGAGCCCTGGATGGAGCCACTGTTGGGGCTCTGGTTGCCCTCTTTGCTTCGCTCCTCTTCACTAGCCACCTGAATCAGAGACACAAGCTCCGACTTAAACACTATACTTGCAAACTCCAGACTGGCAAAAAAGGTGATGGGTGGGGTATAAGTAACAATAAGCCTACTCATTTAAATCTTCACAAAAAAATAAAATAAATAAAAAATTGGAGCAGTTGAAATTGTTTTGGAAATGTTTGATATTAGAATAGAACTATATGTTGTTTTGAAACAACATCAATGTTCATCCTAAACTGTAAAATGACTATAAAAACTATGATTTAAACAACTTTTCAGTTCAAATAAAACAAGTTTTGACAAAATAAAGTTTTATGAAATGATAAACCCCACATTTCTGTTGTATGTTACATATATTTGGTCTACAAAAACAGCAGACAGTCAACAAAATGGCAAAATGAAAATGCAAATTCACATTCTGACAGTAGGTGTGAGAGCAGAAATATGGTAGTTACCTCAGTTGCCACTGTACAAGTCAAGTCACCTTTATTTATATAGTGTTTTACACAATATAGGCTGTTTCAAAGCAGTTCATAGTTACAAAAAGGAAAATAACAGAATCAATGATGCAAATTTTATCAAATATGAGTCGAATTCAAATTTTGGTGTAAAGCACCACTAAAAAGATAATAGTCTAATTATTTAGCTCATAGCTATTTAGCTGTTGGTTCAGTTCAGTTCAATAACTGTAAAGTTCATAAATCATGAAACAAGTTAAAGTCAAGCTAAAAGCTACTTTACAGACGACAACAGTGTCTTTATTCAACTCCAGTCAGTTCAGAGTTGATTCAATTCAGTTCAATAAGTGTCAATGAAATAAATAAAAGCATTATGAAATACATTTTATTCAGCTATAAAGCAGTGCTGTGCTTATAAACACTACTTTATTAAGCATCAAGACATTTTACTGAAAAGTGACAAGTTTGCAGGTATGTCAATAACAGAGTGATGAATAGTACCTTTCTGATTAGAGGCTGAACGTGGTTGAGGTTTCGGTCGCGGCTGTGCTCCATATCCTCCCAGACATCTGCTCCCTGTGCAGGCTGCATTGGGATGGGGGCGCAATTATCAGCCTCACTGAGGCGCTCACCCTGAAGGACGTCCTCTGTGTTCTCACGCTGCAGATCGCCCGGGATCACGGAGGCATTGGCCATGCTGGAAGGAAATATATTCATTTAACCATGTAGACTTCAAACTGTTTATACAGAGACTCGTTATATCACTGAATCATTGTAGATACTAGATATCTACCCCAAATATGCCGGTGTGAGGCGGGTCAACTGCTGGGCTGTGGTTGCCAGGGTTCCAACATTAAGTGTGTCCTCTGAATCTGTCCTTTCCCAGTCATACGGATCATTTTCCACCACATTGTAGCTCTTCATGCTGTTGTCAAAGACTGACATCAGGAGCTGCAACCCAATGAGAGAGCATCTAAGTGATTGTCTACATTTACAAAATCTATGGTCAAGAAAGGCTAAAAAAGTTCAGTACCTGATAATCGGGTTTAGTGAAGTAGTCCAGGTTGGAGATATGGTCGAGAAAAACGCTAAACTCATCTGGGAGTTGTTTGAGCATGAGGCGATGGTTGTACGTCTCCTTCATATTTCCGACCTGTTCCTGTATTGATGGCAGGACTGAGAACAGCAAATCTCTTATCCACGGAAAATTATGATCAGAGCAGAACTTACTTTATCTTTGATTTTTCTCCAGGGTAGCTGACCCACCATGAACTCCACAAGCATATAAAATAAAGACCACAGGTCATCATGTCGACCCATTTCCTTTTTAAAGAACAAGAAGAATGTGCATTTTAGTGAAATATGAATAAGTAACATGACCTGCTATGTATAAGAAACCTGACCGGCATCCGCCATTGGCTTGAGAATGTAAGAGAGAGAAGTTACCCTATTCTTGTGAGCATTAACTGAAGCATAACGGACGGTTCCTCTGAATCCTGCCACTGGACGTGGCTTTAGACAAAAAAAAAAAGAGAAGACATAAGTAAACATACAGAAACACATTACAGGAATAATTCACCCAAAAATGAAAATTCTGTCAAAATTCTGACATTGAAATTTGTGTTCATTTAAAAATCTTGACTTCCACCACTACCCTTTTTTGGCGCATTCATGAGAGTTTGAGATGTAACAATTTATGAACAACTCATTTAGATAATTTCTGTGACCAAGATCAACTGATTAAAAAAAACATATTTAACAGATCCATTCATTCTCAAATCGTACATCACTACTTTTCTCATGAGCAATTCTTCAGTAATTGCTTGAAATTTCTACTTTTGTGCTCCACAAAAGAAATAAAGTCATACAAGTTTGGAAAGATTGTGAGTAAATGATGACTGAATTTTCATTTTGGGGTGAACTGTCTGTTTAAGTAACACTAATATGAAATTTCATAAACATCAATTTTTAAAGGACATCTGTGATTACTTACCGGACGGACTTCTTGACATGAGTTTGTAAATTGGCGTGCTAACCCAAAATCAAGCATATAACAGGTTCGGCACGTACTGGCAAGTCGACCCATTGCGAAGTTAGACTATTTGAGGAAAAAAAAGGTTTGATGACTAGTTTATATAGTCTAAAAAGAAATAATGAGGCCCTGTTAAACATGAATTATAGTCAACATTAGAAGTGCTTTTAGGCCCAGGGCTGTCTGTGAGAGAGCAGACTCTGTACAGCACTCTTACGGGTTTTATGTCTCTGTGCAGGAAGCCCACAGAGTGGATGCTTTCGATGGCTTCTAAGATTTGTCGGCCCAGCCTGAGTGTGGTGGAGAAGCTGAAGGTGCCGCGGCTCATGTTGCGTCGAAGGTCTGCCAAGTTCCTTCCCTGCAGTTCAATGGACAAACATCACTTCAGGTGACTGAAATTAGGGCTGTTGTATTACGTTGAGTTGCGATAACATCCATAAATTCAGAAACAAGAATAAATCATTTGATGCCCTACCTGAAGCTCCATAACCACATAGTTGAAGCGGTCATTGCGTCCACAGCCAACAAAACGACAAACATGGTCTTTACCTATGACATGGATCAAGGCAAAAATGGTTAATGTTATACAAATCCATATATTTTTAAGTAATATTCCCCTTGTGTTTGGCAATGTATGATTGCCCATAGAGTAGCATACACACAGTGCAAAATGACTGCTCAAATATTGTTTTCATGCTTGTTTTGATATACATTAACTAAAAAAAAATTAGATTCTTAAATATCTTATGTTCATTTTTACCCTGAAGTCTTTTCAAAACTGCTACTTCCATCTTAAGGACCTGTTTGGGTTGCTGGGCAGACTCCACTTTCAGAGCCACATTGACTTGGCTCACCTGGTCCAGGACTTCATAGATCTCACCAAAACCACCCCCACCAATTTTCTTCAACTAGTTAGGAAAGAGAAATTTTTAATGAATGGCTACTGTGCAAAACTTTTTGGCCGATAAGATTTCTTAATGTTTTTGGAAGTCTCTTATGCTCACCAAGGTTGGATTTATTTATTAAAATCACAGTAATATTGCAAAATATTATCAGTAATATACTTTAAAATGTATTCCTGTGATGACCAAGCTTAATTTTCAGCAGCCATTACTTCAGTCTTCAGTGTCACATGATCCTTCAGAAATAATTCTGATTTGCTTATTTGGTGCTCAAGAAATATTTATTATTATCATCAATGTTGAAAACAGTCGTGCAGCTTTATATTTTTGTGGAATCTGTGATACATTTTGCTTCTTAGGATTCTTTGATGAATAAAAAGTGCAAAAGAACAGCATTTATGTCACTTTTGATCAATCTGATGCATCATTGCTGAATAGGCTTACTGAAGTGCGATATCAGTCCTCTATGAGGAAGTATTGGTATAACTGTCTTTTTTAATGTGTATTGTATTGTGTGTTTCTTGCTAATGGACCTTGAGTCTGGAAATAAAGTTGAATTTAATAAAAATATACATTTTTCAAAAAGAAAAAAAAAACATATTTTGACCCCAAACCTTTGAACAGCAAAGTACTGTATATATTGTTCCTCCTATAACTGAGAAGACAGCTTTCAAACTTGTGTCAGAGAACAGATATTACAACAGTTCTGTTCATGCATGAAATGCTGTTTTGAAAAAATGTCCTAGCAAAACAACACTTTTATCATGAAATAAAATGCTGTGTCTCGTGACTATTTGTCAGCATGCTGTACAGTTTTCTGTGCTGATGTCAGCACTGCTCAACACACCTGCAGTGTATCATTTGACTGAGCTCAAAAGAAAAAACCTCCTTGACTGGGTGAATGTTTACATGAAAGAATCTGACAGCTATCAGAACATCTCTACGAAACCAACAGTGAGTATTTGAATAGTCCTGAAGCCTTGTCCTCCTAAATACAGCTCCTTCAAAACAACTCACCACTCTCCATCGCTCCCGGACCATGCTCCCGACAGCCAAGATATCAGTCTGCTCCCCGGACCCACTCATCCTGAGGCTCAAGAGTGGACTGAGCACACTCAGAGAAGATCTACACCTCACATCAGTGAGCTCGGGTCCACGCTGAAAAGATTAGAAAAAACAGATCTGTAGATTTTAAAAATGCTTCATTTAGCTGGACCTGCATGGTTACATCAGAAATTAAAGGCTCTAGAGACGTTTGCAGACATAAGGCAGATTTACCTACAGGGCTGTAGACAAGACAAAAATCATGAAAAATGCATTTTATTGGCTCCATCCATATTCTTAAGAAGGCCTTCTGTGAAGGCACCCAAACTATATCAATCTGACCTGTCCTAAGGTTGTCTTTTGAGCAGAATAGGTAAGATCTGTAGAAGAACCTGTCCTGATTCTTTTTATGACTGTCACTGCTAGGGTGCAGAAACTAAAGGAGCTAAATACAGTAAAATCCTTAAGGAACAGGCTTACTGTCGGCCTGAAACAAGAATACAATTCACTATATCTGCAAGACAGTGACTCAGGGAAACATAATCTGTAAATCTACATCACAAAGACTACAAAATACTATTTTACGGTATATGCATGCTTAGTTGTAAGACAGAGAACCTTGGGTCTGTTTGAAGTCAATGATAAAATTAAAATGCAATCAATACTATTTGCAAAGAAGCTAAATGAAACATTCTGCAAGTCATGTACACATCTGTTGGAGTGGTAAATATATGCATTATCTTGAGCAATATATTTTTCTGTATATTATGCATGTATGTATGTATGTATGTGTATACTGTGTGTTTTATTCTTATTGCATACACTGTCAGTCTTATACTGTCATTATTTGACTGCAATGTTGGTGAATTATGAATTTAATTAATTGTTGCACTTGTTTATATGGTGTAATCTGTTTTTTTTTACTAATTACTAACATTTTGACATACACAAAACTCTTTTAGTAATAAATTTAGAATATCTAAAAGATATATACACATTAAAAAAAAACATTTATTTCGTACCATAAAATGTTTTGTGTTTTATATATGTATGTATGTACGTATATAGTTTAAGTGTTTTGTTGCTTTGTTTAGATTTTTATATGCATAAATATGCATGCATGCATGTTACTTTGCATGTAACATAATTTACCTGTAGATTTTACATTTGAATAAATTTGAATTGGAGCACAAAAACATAATAGTTTCAAATAAATCAAATTATTGTTTTAAAAAGGACTCAATGCTATTAAAAGGTTTTTACTCAAGCTTTGATCATTAAATCTGTATTGTATTAACAATACTGTCATTCCCCCCCAGTCAAAACTGATGGATGACAGTCCAAAGCAACTGCCATACTAGCTGCATGCAGTACTGTTTTTAATGAGGATCATGTTAAGGATGGCTGCAGCTGGCCTGTTACATGTCTTTGGTTGGTTGTGTTACTGAATTTTTATGCTAACATCCACAAGCTATGCTGAAAACTGCCGCTGTCTTGTAGATATTGGTTGAGGCGTTCTCTGTCCTTTCCGCATCCAGTGATAACAGAGGGAGACATAGGACACAGGCTAGCTAAAGCTAAAGCATCAGCCAGAGCAAAACCACTAAAACAAAAAAGCGCAATGAAGCGACACCGCGCTAGCTAATTAGCCAAACTGAATAACGCAACACACAGCTATTATTGAACATACGGTTGCCAGGTTACACAATGCAACGCAATGTTGTGACAGCTGTAATCCCGCTAATAATGCGGAGCAACGTTAGCTCGCTAAACGGACTTCACGCGTTCATTCAGGGACCCGGTGTGTTCATTACCTCTCTGCAGCGGCGGTCCAAGATGTTTCCGAAGACTTCAAAACATCTTTTTTTGTTCTATAGGCCATGATGATATAAAAGGTTGGACATAATCCCATAACGTTTTGAAACACAAAATAACGACTGAAGTTCACGTTATTTGCCTCACTTCTCTCAGCAGCAGCGGCAGCGATGACTGAGCGAGCGGACCGATATGTGACGTCACATCTCGTCGAATGGGTTTAGTTTGATTTCAAACATCGTTTGGAATAATCATCACATGAATAAATAATTCAATAATATTTATATTTTCAGTTGTTAACAATTTAATACGGACTCAACATTTACTAATACATTATTAAATCCAAAAGCTGTATCTCTTCGTATCCCATGCACTGTTGTATTTAACTACCGTTAAAAAAAGAATGAATAGAGCACGTTATGTATTGCCAAAGTCCCTTTAACGGCTTTTTTTTAATTCTATAGTCTTTGGTATTGCTCATTGTCAGCTAGTTAGTTAACGGATCTTTATTGTAAATTGTTACCTTTCTTATAATTATTATTGATGGCCATTGTTTTAAACTTTGCGTTGGGATATAGCTAATGCTCACACGCTGAACATTTGTTGTGCAAGGGTATACATATGTAAATTAAGATTTACATAAAAAAGTGCAACATTGTCATTATCTTGTTCACATATTTTCATTGTGGAATTATGCAGGTCGAACATTTAGTTAGGAAATCAATAATAGAGTTGTTACACATAATTAGATAAATGACACAGACATTACTTGTAATTAATCTAATATAATCTAATAGTCACTGAGTGAAACAGTTCTCTCCTCTTCATGTTTTCATTAACAACAAACAAATGCATCCACAATGTACAAACAAGAATGTGAGAGGAATTGATACATTTATGCAGAGGACAGATTTGTGAAATGAAACGGATGTCAATTAAATACTTCTAGTAAAAACTACACTGTTTTTGAGACTAGGGTCCCTTGTGTATTACTCTAAAAAAGAAAAAAAAAATTAAACTGTGATATTTACTGGCAGTAAACTCAGCGATACTTCCATATTTTTATAAACCAAATATACAAGGACTAACAGAAGATTTTCTTGTCAGTACACAATACTTGTTTCACAGATGACTATTACTCAAATAAAATGATTAGAGAAATAATGTCCTCCCAACAACAGCACATCACGTAAACAAAAACAAATGGTTTTGAAACATATAAACCGCAGGATTAAAAACTTTTAAATATTATTTTAAGGATTTTTGGCATTAAAATAATGTAAAATTATTCCCTTTCCTAAAGTAAAAATGTGCATTCAACCATTTTAAAATCTAAGCACAACTGTCCTTTTTTTAAACAGTTGAGACATGCCCACAAAAATGGCTGTAGGCAATAAGTAGTGATGGTTCCCAAGTGTTGAATCAAACTCTAAAACAAAAATACAAAAATGTGATTCTTTCTTAAAATGGAAATAACAGTTAAAACTAAAAATGAAATGCTTTGTGGGCAGCATTTTGTTCAAAGTCCAATATTAGCTCTCATTTGCAGCTTTTCCTGCACCAAGCAGTCTCTCTCTCTCTGGGGCTTCTCCCTCCTCTGCTCTCTGCTCTCCAGGGCAGCAGGGCAGTTTGGCCATCAAGGGCTTGTGGAGTCCATTGTATAGTGCTGTACCCACGAGTAGGATGATGAAGCCTAAAATCTGTAGGCCGTGGAACACCTCCCAACCCAGCAGTAAACTCATGACCCAGATGACCACAGTACGCAGACTGTCCAGCACCATGCGAGTAGTGGCACTTATTTCCTTGGTGACGCTGATGCCGGCGAAGTTAAAGAAGGCGATGCTCACGGTGTTGCCCAGCAGTGCCAGTAAAATAAGGGGCTTATGGCCAATCTGACAGAAGGCGTCCAATGCGTCTTCAAGGACCTGCCGTGGGTTGTCGGCAAAACTTCCCACATGGATGTAGAACATTGGGATGAGGAGCAAAGTGAGGATGACAAATCCGAAAAAACCTAAGAAAGAGAAGACAACTAAGCCACTGGGAAATAGACCAGTCACAGAAGTGTTGCTAAACTGATACGTTTTTTTTTTTTTTTTAAATAATCAAAATTGCCTGTTTGTCAGTAGATGTTCATCAATAACAAAGGCATATTTGGCCGCATTGAATGGGGAGGATTGAGAGTAAAATAACCTCAGATATGCAGACGCTGCTTCAAGTCAGAAAATATAATCAGTCATTTGTAATGGCATTGACAGATAAGTTAATCACAGACTTTTATGGGGGCTACGTTGAAAAATGAAGGTCTCCTAAATGGGGTCTAGCAAACACCTATGGTAATGACAACATTTGGTTCTAAGCCAATCAGCATTGTTTGTTTCATTAATCTATACTACCTTTAATTTTTTGCTGATTTAATCTTTTTAGCAGTTAGACTTTTCTAGTAATTGATCATACATAATAAAGACTAAATAAATAAATGTTGTTCTTTTGAACTTTCTATTCAACTAAAAAAGAAAGTATCATGGTTTCCACAAAAACATTAAGCAGCACAACTGTTTTCAGCACTGATAATAAGAAATATTTATTGAGCACTAAATCAGAATATTAGAATAATTTCTGAAGGGTCATGTGATACAGAAGACTGGTGTAATGGTTTCTGAAATTCAGCTTTACTGTCACAAGAATAAATTACATTTTAAAATATTAAAAATTTTAATTATATTTCACAATATTACTGTTTTTGCTGTATTTTTGATCAAATAAACACAGCCTTAGCAAGTATTGGAGACTTCTTTCAAAAACATTTTTAAAAAATCTTACTGGCCTGAAACTTTTAAATTGTAGTGTGTGACATAAGATAAATTCACATCATTATCATTATGACAACATTATTAATACATAGCATTAATATACTTAGACCAAACCAGTCATTGGCTTTATATGTCACTACATTAAAAACTTTACCTTCAGTCCCAACAGCCTTCAGTGGATGCACATTGTGCTTGTAAACAAACTTCTCCTCCAGGACCATCTGGACTGCAACAATAATCTGTGCCATGATAATCAAAAGGTCCCCTATAAGACAAGATCAACAGAAAATTAGTCCAGGCAGATAAAGTTGCAAGATATAATCAAATAAAGAAAAAATCCTGATATCCAGCCTACGAGAAGATTTTCTGATTTGTAAAAGGCAAATAATCATTACGTATGATTAAAACCATTCAGCAGCAGGTAACTACTGACCTGTGATAACCTCACTGAGCTTACGGGAGTCATCCCCATGGCCGCTCAGAAAATCAGCCAGGCCAACCACCACCAGACCAATGATGGTGACTAGGATCCCAATCCACTGGCTGGGCTGCAGCCGCCGTCCTAAGAACGCTACAGACAACAGTCCAGTGAAGATGATCACAGCTCCTCGCAGCATCTGGAAACTGGAGGCACTGGTCATGTTCAGTGCTAGAGAAAGAAAACACAAATACAGATCCTGTTTAAGTCAATCCAAGAATAAAAAGAATGGATGTTTCAGCTATTATAAATCGAAACTTGTCTACCCAGGTGAAAAAGACGTAGTATTAAATGTATTAAAAATATACTTGAAATTCAAGTAGTATGTTTATAATACATTTGTATTCCCAACATGCTTATTTGAAGTGCAATAAAAATATATTAAATTGCATTTTAATATATTTCTAAAAAGTATATTAGAAGTACTTTTGCATTCCAGCTGGCTAATTTGTGCTTGCTTTCAGTCATTCATGTAAAAATCAGTTATTTAATTTTGTTTCTGTTTTGTTTTTTTCTAAAGCTGCAAGGCTCTGGTGCAAAATATTGTATGCCAGGAGTCAGGATGACTAGGCTGTGCCCAGGTCTCCAGAACCTGCGACGACGCTCAGCTCCATCAGCCCTCCATCTGTGCCTTCAGATCCACCAGCTCTGTCTCCATCAGTCGGCCCCCAGATGTTGGCAGAATATAGTAAGTATGTCTGAAAAAGCACAATTTAAATATATTTCTTTTTCACCTGGGTATATATAGTAAGATAATACACATTGTTCATTTACTTATAGTGCTGTCACTGTAACGATACAAGGCTGGTTGTAAATCAGTGAACCTACCCTTTAAGAACTAAAGACTATGGACACAATATACTTCACATGTTGGATACTCACCAACATACATGATGGATGTTCCCAACATGTCACAAAGGGCAGGGGGGAGGAAAAGTAGGGGGTTGAAACTTTGGCCCGGATCCATCGTGGGCTCAGGTTTGCGCCGATCATGACAAAGGAGAATGTGGAACACCACCAGACAGGACAACTCTCCCAAAAACATTCCCACGGCCTGGAAAGGTGAGAGGAGGAGGTGTGTGGTAAAGAAATATTAAGATGCATGCAGGAAAAGTAACAGAGATGGGGACAAGTGATATGAAGAGAAGGACACAGCCGACCAGTTCTCACTTTGCCAAAACATAAATAACACTTTCAGTTCTCTGTTTTCTTAGAGGTACTGAAAACAATGTGATGAGAGGGAAGTTTGATGTGAATGGTGTGTTGTTATCTTGAGGATTGATGAAAATCATTACCTGTACAAAAGGGTGGGAGAAGGCATGATTTGGGGAACCATAACATCCAGGTGCAGAGAACATATCAGCCCATCTAGGAGATGAACAGATTCAGGTCATTAAACGAGTCATTTTCCAATATTACAATTCATCAGACTTAATGTGTATTAATATGCAGTATAATAATAAATAAGGCACTCATAGCAAACACTGACTCAAAGATAGCTTAAGTTTGGGACTGCACACAAATATTTTGTCCAAACAGTAATGGCTACTGGACATGATCAGGAAGCTTGTTATATTTGTACTGTATTTGTAATGAGATTTTCTCTTTATCCATTCGCACTACACACTAAAAACTATGATATTAAAAATGTAGAATCTGTCTTCCAGCTGCCAGTCACTGTAAGTTTAATAAGTAACTATGCACATGGTACACTAATGCCATTTTTACAACCATGAAATGACAATGTGTGACTGACATAAAGCCTCATGATGAAGAAAAGACTTTAACAACTCTTTCTTTAGATTTAACTTAAACCATTTGACTTGATTGATTTGAGAAAAAAAAATTTATAAATAGAATAGTGATTATGGCACTGTAAATAGCGAATAGAGATTATGGCACTGTAAAAA